CACTAACAGGCTTTTCTAACAAGAAGAAGGGTTGAGCATTAATCACCACGCTTGCTCAAGTTAGATTGGCCATTCAAACTTAAAAGTCCAGGTTTTCTCACGATGTTTACCTTCACCGTATGTCAGTGATGTCTAAATTATCATAGAAAGAACTCTTAAAATTGGTACTTGCAAGATTTAGAACCCGCACCCTCATGCTTGAAAAGCGGACCATCAACCCCCGGGCCACCACGACACACTACTAGAGAGATAGATAGGAGAACTGTATACTACAAATGGTAAAATCAAAGAGCATATAACCACACAACAATGGTTATATCGTCATTGGGTAAAATGGTCATCGAATTTGACCATCGATTCAATTTGACCATTTTATACAGTTATAACCAAGACGAAACTGACAATTGTTTACTCAACATAAAAAAATATAAGTATTTAGATATTCGATTTAACAATTTAAATAATTGTGTCTATATTTATTCCCGAGTAGACAGAACAACGACGCCTTCTGTATTCCATGACACGCTCAATGAAATCCTTTCGTTTTCTGTCTCTCGTCTTGCTTACTCTGTTACAGACTACACAGCTGTCACGCAGCAACGACAATCAATTCAACCCGTTTACGAGATTACCTATTGGTAGGTACACAGAGATATTTTCGCTAATATTACCTATCTTTTCTTTTATTTATTAACCTACTAATCGTGGTAATCCGAGATACAATAGAAGAACAATATGTGTGTGAACGCCGGCGTTCGCTTGGGGTTTGATGAATTAATAAAGAAACACCAACACTCCAACAGCTTGCTTAAATGTGTACAATTTAATAAAACAAAAATATACGTTGTCACTTGTAAAACGGCTTACAGAGGTGAACCAACATTCAAGAACATAAGTAAGTGGTTGCTTAATCAAAATAAATCTACTTAGAGCTGATTTTTCAATGGTTAGATAAAAGTTATCTGGGGAGTAATTTGTCGCGTCAGAATGTTTGTATAAGACAGTGACAACAACAATTTTATTTCTCATTTATCTGACTATTGAAGAATCAGCCCTTAAATGGTATAAACTAAATACATTTCATTCTTATCTCAGAATACCATATTTCATATACTTTATTATTTCTCCCGGTAATATACTAGGCGTTCGATGTCGGTTTTCAAACAAGGTCTTCCAGAAAATATACGAAGACCAAGAGTCTTGTTAGACGCATGTCTCATTATTCCAGTTCGACGAATTCAATATTGTTTCTTTGGCAATACATTTGAGTCAGTCGCGTGCGTTTTATGCCGATGTCGTCAATACACAGGGCTATTCTCAAATCTCGACTTCATATAAATCATATATGAATTTTATTGTATTTTCATTTGTTTTTGACGGTCTATAAAAGTTCTATTCCGATGTACTTATGAATGTTATAGTATATAGAAACTGCTATAAATATTTGTCATCAAATAAAAATGTTTGATGATAGAGTGAACTAATTTTGAATGATTTGATGAAAACCAGTCATGTCAGTAGATTATTATCAATTTGTACGATTGGTTGCAACGATTCACAATTCATGCTATTAATGATATATATTTTTATATAATTTTAATTATATAATTATAACTTCATAATAAAGTAGCCTAAAATAAAATTAGCAATACAATAACCTTCATAGATACAAAACACAAAATCATAATTTACAACAAAAAAAATTCTAGGTATTTCCTTCCGTCTAATTCAAAAACAAAACACGTTTAAAAAAAGCAAAACATATTCTTAAACAAAAAGTAAAGAGAATAGTGACCGAACTATCAAGTCCAAGATGCGGGTTCAACCGGCCGTCTGTCCGCAACCTAGTTGGCGGGGCACTCTCTCTACAAATATTACAGTATGTCGCGTCACCCGTGTGTTAGCGATCTCGTTAGCTATCCGAGGTATCTCCCAAGTGAATGGGACATCACATCACCTTTATTATATTGTTACCGGCCGGTGTTATTGACCATCAAAACCTTTTTGTTTGACGTCTATTATCAGCTGCGGTAATAAAAAAGAAAAAGTTTAAAAATGGAATAGTTTGAATAAATGCTATTTTTTTTTTGTAAACTGGTTTTCTTTATTAAGTTTTTTAGTGTGTTATTGATTCCAAAGTTAGTTTAAAGAAAAATAATAGTATCGACCAAACATCTTCAATAATAAATATTTTGAAGTATTAAATAGGTCATGGTGTCAATTTATTCGTTCGGTAAAGGCTGAATAAATCAATCACCATAACCTTTTTGAAAAACTCGGTCTCTATTCTATTCTGGTATTCGATTGATTGATTCGTATAATGTCGTTGACCAAGATAGTAATATATCAATGCGAATAGAAAATGCTTTATCACTAGGCAGAAAGTAAGACAAGAAGTGTGATGGGTAATAAAGGAAGACGCTTTTTATCTGTTAACAAAAAGAGGTTCATTAACGCGCGCGTTCGGTTCGGGTTTTGAATTTGAAAAAAGAAATGTTGTATTTACGTGCGTAAACACGCATATTCTATATTTACAGTAAAAAAAAGAAGTCTACGTTTTGACGTAACATTGTCGTAATTACATTTTCGATGATAATTGTCCTTCAGTCATTTGAGTGATTGACACTGACTGACGTGACCCGTGACGAGGGATCCTCTAAAAGTTCATATTCAACTAGCTTTAGAGATCGGCTTTGACCGTAGCCGTATAGCTGAAGGTAGATCAAAGGATTTGGGTATTATTTTTGCATTACTTTGATTACCATGAAGTCATTAGAATGTTATTCGCCAAAGGAATCCACACTTTGAAATGAGCAAATAGCTTCACTTGAAGGCTAACCGATAGTCTGTCACATTTTATCTTGAAAACTTTGTTTGACGGTTAAAAGCGCCAATAACGGTCTTTTTAAAATAAATTGTTTGATTCTTACTTTGATTAAAGTTGACTATTTTGGATCAAGTTTGGGTTCTAGAGGATTAAGACAACGTATGTAATTGAAATTTTTAATTCTGGAAGCTTTAAGAACAAAAATCACCAGCTGTGTTAATTTTAACCTATAGTGAGTCAAAGATGAGATAATATTAAAAAAAAAACATTAAGAGAAGAAAAAACAACAAAACCAAAGCCATCACAGAACGTGCAAATCACTTTTAGGGCTGATTTTTCAATAATCAGACAAATGTTATCTGAGGAATAAAATTGTTGCTGTCACTGTCTTATACAAACATTCTGACGCGACAGCATCATATTTACTCCCCAGGTAACTATTATCTAACCATTGAAAAATGAGCCCTAAATAGAGCAAATTAGCACTGTGAACATTATTTGTGGACTTATAAATTATATTGGCCAGTGTTATAATCTAATATTAACCAGGTGTAAGGTAAGCCGCGTCTGCAAAATTTCTAAGCAACTTTCTTCGAAGTATTGTGTTTGAAAATAATTAAGAACAATGATCTATTTATAACCGCTTTACAAAGTTGAATAATTGCTTCCCCGTAGATATTTAAAGGAGACCCCTAAGTTACGACATTATATTTTAACTTAATTAGTAGATGAAGTTTTTTTTTTAATGAGATACGGCAAATGGAAAACTAACCTATTTGACGACGTTAAGCAATCAGCGCCGCTCAAGGACATCTTTATCCTTTAGAGATAAGGGGTTTTGGGGATTGGGGTGGAATGGAGTCTTGGGGAAGCGGCCTTTAGTGATATGGGGATAGGCGATTTGGCTGGAATGGGGTCTTGAGGAAGCGGTCTTTAGGGATAAAGGGTTTTGCGGATTTAGAGATTGGAGTGGAATGGGGTCTTGGAGAAGCGGCCTTTAGGGGATAAGGAGTTTTGGAGAGTAAAGGAGTATCTAATGTGGGGGGAGTAGAAGGATTTTGTGGCCGGTAATCTCACTTGTGATCGATTACTCCGCTCGAGGCGAGCCATTGCTGGTCACAAAAGTAGCCCATATATTTAGTTTAAGAGACTATAGTCTATAGCTGTGTCAAATTTCACTCAGATCGTTCGCTTATAAATAATAGGTAATACTAGTAGGATGAGCTAACCAAACTATTGAAACGCAACCCCTTTCTACGTAAGTATAAGTAATGGTACTTACTACGAATGACACATAACATCGTATCAACCCTTGTCTGGGATGTCGTAAAAGGTGTGTAGATAATAATAATAGCCCAATGTGAAGATAGTTTTGAAGCTATAACATGATCCATATTTGCCTGTCAACTGTATTGTAGCGAGATACCGAGACATGCCTCCTACATGAAATAATATTACGAGACGAAGAGCTAAAATCTGTTATATTTACTAAGTATAATTCTGTATATTAATATTTCATCTTTTTTTAATAACAGATCATATAGTAGTTAAGTCTTAAGTTCCAACGGACACTGTTGAAGTTGCTTTAGCGTTCAACGCGTTGGCAGTGAATGGGCGAAAAAAACTTTAAAAGAATAATAATGAAACATTTAAGTTGAGAACATAAGAATTTCAAATTATGAAAGGGTCCGCCCACAATACTTCTGATATTGTAGTATTGAACATTATTATTATCCTGTGTTATTACAAACTATATAATCTATGCCTGTGACAATTTTAATTCAGATCCGTTCAATTGTTATTACGCGAAAGACTATCAAATATCCATCTCCCCATCCACTTGTGAATTACGTGCTTACAAATTTTTGCGTTTATAATATATTATTAGTGGGGTAAATTTATTAAAATAATCTTAAATTTCCCATAGAGTAGAATGTGCTATGAATAATAGGAAAAATGGTCGTACGTAGACTTATGAAGAAGAAACATCTAAAGTAAATATAAACTAATATGCATGTGTAGTAAGCTAAGGAGCTTGTTTGATGGTTAAACGCATAAACGCGTTTTATGAAAGAAAACAATAAACTAAAAAACATTACGCTATGAAGAAACCGTAATGATGTAGTAATTCAACTTTTACGTTTAGAAGTCGTTAAACTCGAATAGAACTCACCATCAACTCCCGTCGCAGCTTGTCGAGCTCATGCGCTGATGGTGGAGCTGGTTGTACTCTTCCTCTCCTCAACTCCTCCAGCTGCCTTGTTAGCTCCTCCACTTTGGCCACCGCCACTGATAACTCCTTCTCCTTCTCATTGAAAAGCGCTCGTATTGATTCTAGGTCACTCGCTGTGGACAACACAAAAAGGTAAATTAATGAATATTTCTGGGTAATGCAAAAATACATTTACTTCTTAAGAATGAGGCTGAAATTTTAACCATAAAATTATTGTTATAAAAAGGTCGATACCAATAAAGATTTAAAGCATATGGCGTGAATATTGACGTCATTTTTTAAACCAATCAAAAGTTGTCAAAATCATTTATTTTCTATTAGACAGGAACTTTTGATCGTCGGACAAAGGTAAAAGATAAAAAGTGCCAGTCTATCGGTCAGTTTTCTTAGTGAAGCTATTAGTTAATCTATTGGTTGGCATTGTTTTCTCTTCTATTCTATTTATCTATTAAAAACATTTATTTCTTTAAATGTACTACGTCTATGTGAACATCGGTTTATCCTAAGTCCCTAGCTACTTTACAAAACAGCAAATTACGCAAGAGGTCTACCACCCACGCCAATCTCTCAGCCTCTTCGAATCTTGTTCCGTTATTCATTACAACAATATTGTTGTTTACTGGAATTTTCTTGAACCTCAAAATAAGTATAAATCTGTGTTGTTACATTAATTAACCACTGTCGCATTCAAGTTTCGCCTGATGAGACAGTTCCCGTCGGAAAATGTTTTTTCCCTTTCTGTTAAGCGTCTAAAAGCGAAATAACGTTTTGTGTTTAAAAATGAAATGACGACACTATTGTTCTATTCCACGAAACGCGAAAGAAAGGCGATACCTAAGAAAATATCGGTTACATTTCAAAAGGCAAGCAGCACTGAAAGTTTGAGTTATTTTAAGTTGTATTGAAGAAAGATTGGCATCATTTCTCGGGGCCCAATTCTTTGAGAACACCTGTAAAAATGTTATCGTCGATAAAAATGTGTTTGAATACAGATGAATGAAATAAAAATGCCCTAGGGCTTTCAATGTTGTTATCTTAATAAAATATTATGTGCTTACAGTATAGAGAATTGGTGTCGATGTTAGAACGATTATATACGAACTACGGTTGACATTTCTACTTAGTGTATGTTTTGAAATATTCCGTGGAATATGAGCCAGTATGATTGCTTACAATCCAGAATGAAAGTGAAAGGGTAAACCGTTTAGCTACTGGTATACGATCTCATTACATGCGTGGGAGTTGAACGATGATCTTTAAGATTGACGTGCGTAGGTGGTAAGGCACGTACGAAGTATATTTTCTTCTATATTTCTGCTTATAAGAGATTAGTGATATTTCTAGAATTCACATATATCTGAAACAACGTTACTTTATAATGTAAGGAAATGACAATCAACAGCATTCATAAAAAGCTAACGGCAAAATACTGATTAGCAAACTAACATTCCTCCAGAGCAACGCAGGTACTTGGCAACGAGCCAAAAACTTCGTTAAAACAAAATAAAAGAAAATGAACCTGTTAATAGTTCTAATGCTGCAGCCTTTACCCTTCGATTTTAGTACTGAACTTTACGAATTGTTTACTCCAATTTATAGGCAAATAAACATTGATTTCCCTTAATAGTTGCCATTAGAGCAACAATTACAGTAATTTCGACCGAAAATAAACGGAATAAAGTTGACAATTGTGAAATTCTAATATGTATTGAGGTCCAAAAATGCTATTTTACGTAGCAGGGGCCCAGCTGAGACACATTTAAAAGCTTGGAAAGGGAAATACCTCCGACCTTTCAATTACAGAAGACAATAAAGAGGGCTTTATCTGTATGAAGAGTCCCTCCGTTTGTTCGCGACACGATGGAGCAACATATTTTTTATTATATTCTACTCTTTAAACGCTAAAAATATCTTTCGGTGTATTTCATTAACTATGCTTTTCAGACGCATTTTGGTTATATTCATAACATGTCTCAAAATGATAGAAATTCTTAGTGGGGTGAATGTGGTTTTCGCCTTATATTAATGCAACATCAAAAATAAGATATTATAATTAAGTCGTCGATGGTCATCATAGCACAAGCATATACAAAAGTTGATATACTACATACAAATATGAAAGTGTATTTTCAACACAACGTTTTAGAAAAATAAGATTTCATTTATAACTTAGACAGTAAATTCTTGATAGGTATAACTTCAACTCAATACGAGAGCATATCAATACAACAGAATATTCTAGTATCACTTTACACGAATAACGCATTTAGTCACGTGTGACTGTATCACACATTGCATATAGAAAATCGAATTAAACCGTACTGAATATAGACTAATGAATTTCACACTGAATGGTTGCTAAGTAAGGCATTCAATGGAGTAGCTTTGATACTAAATCTAACTTACTAGTTTATAGCTTGCTTAGCAAAGCTCAGAAGATTAGATTGGATTCAGATAATCGTGCCTTATATTAGCACTAATCCATGATTTAAGTAGAAATGTAATTAAGATCCATTATCGGAACCCAGTCCGATAAGGTTGGTCGGGTTCTGTCGCGGTGCGTTTTAGTATAATGGAGTAATGATGAAAATTCTGCAATTATTCGGGTTTCTTAAAAATATTTTGGTAGTAGTGTTTCTCATTAAATCCTGATCATCGAAATGGTATAGGAAAAGATAGGTTGACGTGAATTAAACTAAAACAGTAGAAAAATATAGCCAGGATTGCGACTCAAGCGCAATAAGGTATCGCTGCCCCGGCTTAGACCTGGACAAGGAACAGGGTGGATTTTAAGTCAGTAAGAGTCTGACATTCCCGCTCTCCTTATTCAATGCGATGATTCTACCCCTCAAAACAAAAACAAAAAAATCTAGAAAAATAAGCATCAATAAAAGAGACAATAAAATTTCAAAATTTACCTACCATAACTACTATATTATTATAAATTTATTGCAAAATCGTTAAACGGAGCATTGAAAACGGTTTAATGTTATTTAATATCCAAGCTGAGTCGGGCAACAAAATGGAATCTCGTAATGGTCAGTCGAATGAGTGATTTGCTTAACACGTCACTACACACCAATGCCTGATTTGCTCCATCAAAGGGCCTTATCGAAGCGTGAAATAATGAGTGCAAATAATACTATCAGTAAACCCCCTAACCAGCCTTTTCACACAATAGTTCGATCCTGAATTTTCATAAAGCTTTCTAGGAAATTGATTTCGCTAGTCCAAATATTGTTCTAGCGTCGTGGTTTTGAAGTCAGTTTTATCATAGAAAATCTATCTCCGCTTGCCTTTGATTGGCATAGAATAATAATAACAGCTAAATTATGTATGGTGTTTTGATTTGAAAATAGATTAATATAAATCAAATTAATACTTCATTGCTTTCCCGGCGTGTGTATTCAGCTGGGAAACTGAAAAACATAAAACGTTAAACTGACATTAAAATTGATATGTGAGTACTTTAAGCTTCTCTTAGTAAACTAATAGTCTTAGAAATGTGAAAGCGTAATCTTACGACTTAGTAAACCTCAAAGTGAACGTCTAAGTTTTAAATCACGTAACACGATCTAAGAAGCCCTATCTCCGAAAGCGATCGAAAACAAAAGCTTTGAAGGCCAAACGATCGTATAAACGAATATTTTCTTCGGGGCAAATGTATCGCTATGTGTGCGACCCGCCCAAATTGATTTAACTAGACGCCCCTCTAGGAACGTATTCTTCTTTTAGTATCTAATGTAGAAACGAACCTTTTTCCTTCTTTTCTTGAGTAACAATTTACGCGCAAAGGGTGGTCTCTCTCGTTATCTCGCGTCAAATATAATGTGCTCCGAATTTGGAGACAGTTCTTTCGCTATTTCTGAGTGGAGGGCTTCCGCTTAAGTTGTTAAGTGTCATGCTCATTGAGATCCCCTTTTATTATGTACTCCGTTAAAGTTTCTATAGAATCTGGTTCATAGATAAAGTGTATGTTTTTTTTTTAATATTTATTTAAGTCCTCTACGATTCGACAAGTTCAGACGTACTTCCTTAGACATTCAGTTTACAAAAAAATCTCATAAAGGTAAAATACCACGATGTGTAATTTTAACTAGTTTAAAAAGAAGAAAAACAGAACATATATAATTAAAAATCGATAGCTACAAAGGTCATTTGGTAGTAGTTCAATTGCTCACAAAACTATGAACCAGAGCGGGTCACAATCAGCCTAATGAGGCGAAACTTGTAAAGTGATTAGCCGCAACAGAGTGTTAGACCACTCCACTAAAACCCACATTTGTACGCACGGAGCTAATGTAGGAGCGGCCACAAAAACCTCGCTGACGGAGACTGATGTCTAGGGACGAGAACAAATGGAACTTTCAACTTTAACAACGATTAGGTTCAATGAAAAATAGCAACATGTAAACATGGGATAGGTGCGCTTTTTGCTCACATTAATTTTGACCTTCAGAGCCCGAAGGACTAAAAAATGTACAAAAAATTTCTAGCGGAAAAATAAAACATATTTATTAAACTTAATAGTTATTTAAATATAAACATTTAATTCGAAAAATAAAGAATTTCATATTACCATTTATTTATTTAAAATTTATCACCTATCAAAAACCTTAAATTTCTTTTACTACTTTCAACTATGACATGTTATAGTATTGATTTTTTCCAAGTTCAGTCGATGCGTCATCGCTCGTATCATTTGACGACTGGTACCTTCTACATAGTAACATAGCTGTTCGTGATTCAAAGGGTTTCTTTAAAGAAAATCTATAAGGGTTATGACGCAATAACTATAAAGTAATAGACAAATTATTTGTCTGTTTTTATGTTTTTTTTTTATAATGTAAGCTAAGTTCACTCGGTTACATTTTTTTCTATTGTACTTCTTAAAATGTTAAATCTCAATGAAAAAGTTGACATGCAGTTTAATTTTAACCTGTTACCATACCACAAGTATATAAGTATGTTTTGGAAGTTGGTAAACATTTTTCAAAATTAATTTAGACGTCAATAAAAAATCTTCGTTCATAAAACGATTTATTGCCAAAAACGGCAAATGGAAGTCTTAACGCGCCAGCTTAGCAATAAAATAGCGGATTCATAATATTAT